AATAGATTTATTGTAACACTGAAAATATTTGTTATACGCATAGATTAACGGTTTGAATGAAAGTAGTAAATAGTACAAATATCAATTTACCTTTAATAGTAGTTGTCCACAATACGATTATTGTTAAAACTACAAGCGGAATATAAAGAAAATTTTCTCTCATCTTTTTAAACTGTTGAAGAAATATTTAACTAGCGGAGACAACAACAGAAACCGAAAATTCAATATCGTGCCTCTCACGTCTTAGCCAACAAGTAGTACACAAAACAGCCACCGTTGTTCGCGGAGGCATTGCGGGCTGCCCGATGGCAGACAGGTTCGTATACGGGTAATCTCATGGGATTCCCATATGGGCAAGTGGCTGGATATCGCTGCATCATAACTATTCAATTGAGTATCGCGAGTGGACGTTTCCCCTTTGCCCCTGTGCACTTTTAACTTGCCGGTCTCTTCGGATAAACAGAAGAGGCCTATTGTACTTACACGTGTCTACATCTATATACGTGTTAACTTCCCATTGGTGCAATGTCGAAAACATGAGATTCGTACAGAACTCTGATGCAATGTAATTTTCTGTCTTTGGTTCTAAAATATCATCACTATAAAAAATACTTTAATGCACTAGTGACCTTTATTTAATCAGTTAGTGAACAACACTGTAACGAAAAATGTATTCAGGGTGACCAGCTAAAACCGGAACTAGGAATGATGAAATTAAACCGGAACTGGGAACGGTAGAATTGAATCAGAACTGTGGTGGGATTGCGTTAGAATCGGAATGGCGGGATAGTAAAACCGAACTTCAATTTTTCTGTAACATAATTTTCATTTTTAGTGAGTATCCGGTAATATATTTTTAACTATATAATTAATCTTCTATTAATTATAATGGAATTCTGTACTAATAATCAATCGAAAAAACAATTATATTGATAATTTATAATAACAAAAATGTACTACACCAGATAGTCGATGTATTCTCTCACAGTATTTTAATATGCTGGTTAAACTTATTTATAGAATACTTATCAATAATTGGACATAATTTTATGAGAGAGGAGTAGGAAAAATACGAAAATATGCAATAACGTATTCTGCAACAATTGGTACATCTCAACTTATTTATTCATATTTATTTTGTAAATATTTTATAAAACAATGCTTCTCATTTTATTTTAAAAATGATAAAATTACTAGGCGTTTTATTGAACTATGCAGAACAATTGTTATGGAAAAAGCATGTATGTGTTACACTAAAAAATGCAATAACATACTTGGAATCATATTCGATATCAAAACAATCCACAGATACGGTGAATTGCTATTTTGTAAAATTGCACTTGAGAAATGTGGTAGATTACAGTTGAATATATAAATTCAAAAAATAACTACCTTGATATAGACAAATTTTACAATAATGGTACAAGTACCCCAACCTTCCTTTGTATAATAAAATCCTTATTGATATTCCCTTAGTTAATATTTATGCATTCATGCTCCGATATTACATAACTTTCAGAGTGAAAAATATTTTTCAAAAGTTATACAATTAATGCATAATGTGTACATTTGATTATTGAACGACAGGAATGAAGTGCTTTCCGAGCAGGCATAAAAATCTGCCTCCTAGTTTAAATAATTTTAATTTAATTGTACAAATGTATCAAGGAACTGTCCAAGCATTCTCAAAATACACTGTATGTTGTGGTTTAATGATCAATGATGATGAATATTTCAATTAATACTCGATAAGTTTTGGACGGGTTTTAACATAAACATATGCTGCTATTACAACAAATATCGCAGCAATTGTGGGTAATACCACTGTAAAGACACGTTGTTTATTCTCCAAGAATTCCTTTTTTCTCTCTTTCTTTTGTTTGTTCGTTTCTTTCGTCTTTCCCTTCAGTTGACGCATCTTTTTGCTGAAAATACCAAAGGATAATGCATTAATAACATTTATTGTTATATAATGTGTAAGCACAAGTGAAAGTAAAACTTTTAAAAACCAGTTTCCTTAGAATTATTTCATGTATTATTATGGATCACAACATTGTGATAAAACATTCTAGCTCACTGAATGATAATGAAAAATGTTACTAGTACACCATTAGAAATATTTATTTCTATCCTAATGCAAAAGAAAGATATCACTGGTGTTATTCTACGAATGTTAAGTAAACATATTATAGCACTTAATGGTCAAGTATATCGAACTTTTACGATGCATATGTTTATGACAGTTTTAAATGCCGCTAAAGTACAGGAGTCCTTAGATAAACGACAAATAATCAACTCGTGAATTTTATCGTCTGCGAATGGAGGTGTAAATTTTAATACCTTTAACGGTTCGGTTAAATAAATATGAAAGAACTTCTGGACACAGTCTCGGGATTCTCAAGCAATTAGGAAAAGCAGATTCGCGTACATGACACGTAATAAAATAACGCTACCCTACCAATCGTAATTTCTGTCACTTCCGTGTGAAGGCAGTCAATTGAACTACGTTAATCAGTAGATTCGAATCGTGACAACAGCTTCTCGTTATATTAACTTTTGCAGTCGTGTGTGTGTAGCATATACATTTTCAATTATTAGAATCAGTACGATTATATCTTTAAAAAATATTAATATAGTTATCTACAGTTATTGAAACAATGTTCAACTAGCTTTGACACATTCAATGCAATTGTTCGTGCAAAAAGTTTCATTTTAAACTTCACAACTGTCTTTTCAATATATGAAAGTTTCACTTCAAATAAGATACGATTAATGTTTCTTTTTATTGTAATTTCTTCATACATATAAAGCGTATTGTGAAAAAAACGGAAGGCTAGTAATTTACACTTCAATAATTGGTAATTCGGGAGTGATTAATTTACTAGGAAATTTTAGATGCATTAACGGACATTACGATGGATTCAGATCAAAAAGAATTTTTAGGAAATAAATAACAATCCGACACATAATTCATGGATACAGCTGAATGCAAATTGTATTATAGTTAATTCTTTTTCTATTGATAGGTTTAAAATTGGCGCTTCAGACCACCATTAAATATTCGTATAGAAGAGATATCTTTTATTTCGAGTGAAGGTAAGCATTGTGACCGTTAGAGCGCTCTGTCGAATTTTTGTTACAAGTGAACAAATTTTCCAGGATTGTCAACATAGTTTACACACTACGTACTTTGTGAGATATAGTTTTAGTATAACTACAGATCGCTTCACATAAATTTGACGTTTTAGAGTGTGTACATGTTCGACCGAATACTGTGTTGCGGATCAAAGGATCGAAGTATGATTTTGGGTTAGAATTTCGTATCGAGTAGTCGTGTTAGTCAACGGCCACATCGTAGTATCGTAGCAAGAGCATATATTTTCTGTAAGAATTAACGCAAGAACTATCGAATAGTCAAAATAATTGTTTTGGAGTTGTTTCGAAAAATGATAGTTTCGTTAGATCGTACAAATGAGTTTGTTAACAAATTTCTGTCAGGTGCACCGTTACGATTTCGAAATCTGTTATTTTGACAATCGTAGTGGTTGCTGCATTGTTAAGTACTGTTCAATTATTTACGTCACATTCCTTTTGTAGTGCCTTTTGTATATGAATTAAGTATTATACTTTTTGGAGTACACGTTCGAACGTTATTTAAACGGTATGGAAGTCGACGAAAATAACGCAACAGCTCCATCAGAGACACCGATGGAAGTTGACCAGGATAACACTGAAAAGAGTTCTAGCATTTCAATGAATCCTTCAAGTGCTATTAAAGTGATGGCATCCTCTGGTACCGTTGGATCTGTATCTATTAGTCTTCATCCATTGGTTATAATGAATGTTAGTGAACATTGGACCAGACTTCGTGCTCAAGAAGGAACAGATCAATTAGGTATATTTTATAGTATTGGCTGATACTTTTTCTTAGAATGTTATAGAAACCGTAGTTTCCTATTTCATATAATTACTCTGTATTTGTAGTGTATGGCGCACTGATCGGTAAACAGAAAGGACGTAATATAGAAATTATGAATTCCTTTGAACTTATGTTTACATGTATTGGAGATGATGTTATAATAGACAGAGATTATTATAATACCAAAGAAGAACAGTTTAAACAAGTGTTTAGTGAAATGGATTTTCTGGGATGGTATACAACGGGGGATATGCCAAATGAAAGGGACATTAGAGTGCACAAGCAGCTTTGCGAGATCAACGAAAGTCCTGTGTTATTGAAACTCGATCCCAGACCAAAAAATACAGATGTACGTATATCAGATCGATATTTTGTGCTTCCCATTGAATCTCAATCATTCGTTGTTATATTTCACAGCAATTGTCTGTTTCTATGTTTGAATCTGTGATCGATTTGGTTAATGGGGAAGCTACCATGTTATTTGTTCCATTAACTTATACACTGGCAACAGAGGAGGCAGAAAGAATCGGCGTTGATCACGTCGCGAGAATGTGCAGTAACGATCAAGGGGAGAGTTCGTTGGGTAATATCGCTTATCTCTATTGAATATTCGCCGCGTTAAATTGATGAAAATAATGTTGACGGAATTACGTGTAGTTGCCGAGCATCTAATTGCACAGCACAGTGCTATAAAAATGCTGCATTCACGGGTGAAATTAGTCTTGAAGTACGTACAAGCAGTGCAGAGCGGCGAAGTGAAAGGAAATCACGAGGTGTTGAGAGCCGCTTGTTCATTGGGACACCGATTGCCAGTTTTAAATAATCCAAAATTCAAAGCTGATTTCTATAACGTACGTATTTATTCTCGACATTATTTCCAGAATGATCTCTTCTGCATTTAACGCGTCGTATCGCTAATCTTTCCAGCAATGCAACGACTTTGGTCTGATGACTTACCTTGGTATCATAACAAAAGATTGCAACAATATTAATCAGTTTGTTAATAAATTCAATATTTTATACGATAGACAAAGTGTGGGCCGTCGTTTACGATGTCACTTTTTGTGATGAGTGAATAGAAGCCATTGTTTTTTTTTACACTTGTCTTTCTTTACTCCTTATAATTGTAGTAAATATTTTCGGATTATGAAGAATTTAAAGCGGGTAAAGCTTATCGTTGGTGAGTAAATTTAATTCCATAATAGATATTGCATCTCTTACAAAATAAAGGCAAAAAAAAATTAGATAAATTATTGTACTGGTTAACACCTAACAGATAAACTATATTGTCATTGTGTAAACATCTTCGTTATGTATTTTATACTTATACTTTTCCCAGAACACGGCATTACATACAAAGAATTTTGAGACACCGTGTACACAACGCTGCTCGAAAGAAAAAAAATTGAACATTCAGACTGTACAAGTCGTA